TGGGGAGTATCTTGTTTCTGCGCTGACCAGGGTCCACGATGTGTAGTACACTGGGCGCTCGTTTTGGCCGTCTCTTTTGGATATTAGTACTGCGCTCACGGCTCTTGTCGACACGGCAAGATACAGAAAAAGCTTTTCATTAAGTTTTGGGGCGGTCAATATAGGGGGGGAGACAAGATAAGCCTTGAGCTCCTGGAATGCCGCTTCACATTCTTTGGTTCATGTGAATCGCGCGCCGTTCTTGAGCGTCTTGAAGAATGGGGCGCACTTGTCAGTCGATCTCGGTATGAACCTTCCCAGCCGCTATTTTGCCGTTCAGGGACTCGATCTCCAATGTGTTCCTCGGCGCGTGCAACTGTTGGACCGCAGTGATTTGCTTTGGGTCAACCTTGATGCCGCGCTTGGTGATCATGAATCCCAAGAATTTTCCGGCCTCTTCCCAGAACACGCATTTTAGCGGGTTGAGGCGGAGTGCCTCAAATGTCTCGCGCAAGTCTTCCAGGTGTGATTTGCCCGCCTTGGTCTTGACGATGAGGTCATCCACGTAAGCCTCGATGTTCTGCCCAATCTGTCGTGAGAACACCGCGTCGATCATTCTTTGGTAAGTCGCGCCAGCGTTCTTCAATCCGAATGGCATCCTGACGAAACAAAAGATTCCGAATGGCGTCATGAAAGCCGTTTTTTCTTCATCCTCGCGGGACATCGGGCTCTGGTGGTATTCTGAGAACATGTCCAAGAAATACAACGTCTCATGATCGGCGGTGGCGTCGATCAGCTGGTCAATGCGTGGGAGTGGGTAAGGGTCTCCTGGGCACACCTTGTTGATCGTTGTATAGTCGACGCACATCCGCCTGGCCCCTGAAGATTTCTTGACCAAAACCACGTTTGCCAACCACTTCGGGTATTTGATCGGGCGAATCAGTCCTGCCGCTAACAGGCGCGCGATCTCTTCTTCAATGTCCTTCAGTTTGTCGCCAGTGAAGCTTCGTCGCGCTTGTTGCCTTGGTTCCGCGTTGACTGGAACCGCGAGGCAATGCTGGGCGACGTCCCTCGGGACTCCTGGCATGTCTTCTGTGCACCAGGCGAACAGTTCTTTGTACTCCTTGAGCAGCGCTATCAATGGCTCAATCGCGTCATCGCAGACGTGAGCCGAAATGCGTATCTTTCGCGTCGGCTCGGTTGGATCGAGCGCGACTTCAAAATCGGAGTCCATCGACTCCGGACGGGGCTCCTCTGCCCTTGTGTCCACAATGTTGGTCTAGCGGGACTCTCCTGGGTTTGGGGCCTCCCATGGCGTCCCGCGCGCTTCGCCGGCCCCTACCTTGGTGGGGAATTTGAGCTTCTGGTGGCATGTTGATGAGAGAGCCATGAATTTGGCTAGGAAGGGCCTGCCAAAAATGCCATTATGGGGCGAGTTACAGTCGACTATTGTGAATTTGACCTGCTTCGAGACGCGCGGCTCTTGGTCTCCAAGGACAACCGGGAGGGTGACTACGCCAATGACTAGAACTCTCGTTCCAGAGAAGCCGACTAAGTTCCCCTGAGCGCGCTTGATCAGTCGCGGATCGATGTCCATTTGATCAACAGTGCTTTTGAAAAGAATGTCTGCCGCGCTGCCCCCGTCTATCAGTAGGCGGTGGATTTTGCAGGCGGCGACAAGCGCGGTGATGGTCGGGGGGTCTTCTGATGGGACTCCCTGGGGGAACTCCGCGTCATCGAAGCTCAGGTTGCACTTCGTCGGTACCTCGGCCGCTGCGCACTCTATAGCGCGCTCGCGCTTGGTTTTCTTTTTTGGGCGGTCTCCTTCTACTGTTACCACCCCGATCTCTTTTCGTACCACGTACGAGCCTGTGGCGTCATTATAGTCCGCTTGTGGGGGTGGTGGTGGTTGTATTGGTTGTTCCGTCTGTTCCTCCGCTCCGCGAATGAACTCGGTCAGCAGCCCCCTTCGGATGAGGACTTCGATCTCGTGGCGCAACTCTCTACAATCCTCTGTCCGGTGGCCAGTCTCTCTGTGGAATTCGCAACGCTTCTTCGGATCGCGCATGTGTGGTAAGGACCTCAGAGGTGCGGGCCAGTTGATTCTGTAACCCTTCTCGCGGAGAACGTGGAACACGTTATTCATAGAGTCATTGAGGGGTGTGTAGTTGCGCCTCTCCGGTGATCGCCCTCGTTGCACTTGCTCTGGCGCTGTGGTGGGCGTCTGGGGCTGCTGTGCAATTGCATCAACTGGTCTCGCGGCACTGGTAGCGTTTTTTGTTCTTGTTCTTCTTTGGGCGCCTTTGCGGGTTCAAAGCGCCTGACGGAACCCGCGCCTAGAGTCTCCTCTAGCGTGATGGCTTTCTCGATCTTGACTTCCAGCTCTGTCGTTAGCGTGACAGGTCTTTTTGCTAGCGCTCGTTTGAGCTCCACGTTGGTGGTGGCGTCCATGAGGTGATGGGCGGCAATTTCTGGGGTGAGGTCTCTCATGGCCATTGCCACCCTGGACCACCTAGCGTAGAATGCTCGCAAGCTTTCTCCGTCCTTCTGCCTGATATCTATCAGCGCCTTGAGGTGAAGCGGCCTTCTTTTTTGGGATGCAAACTTTGTGGTGAACAGGAGGAGTATGAACTCCTCGAACGAGCGGATGATTCCATTTGGGAGGCGATTGTACCAATCGAGGCATATTCCGGAGAATGTTGACGGGAAGGTTCTGCATAGCGCCACGTTGGAGTTAGTCTGGAGTTGCATCCTCAGGCAGAAGGTGCTGACGTGATCCTTTGGATCAGTCGTCCCGTTGTAAGTTGGGAGGGTGGGTGGCGTTCCGCTTAGGTGTTCCGCCATTATTTCTGCGCTCAACGGTTGATGTAGGATTCTTCTGGGTGGGTTAGGACGGAATTGCGGAGACAGATGTTGCTCCAAGAAGCTGAGGTCCGCCCTCCCTGGTGGTTCGATTCGTTGCGCTTCAACCGCGGACAACTCGCCCGCCGCCTGTTGTGGTGGCGCGGCTGCGCCTGACGCCTCTCCTTGTTGTAGCGCGACAGGCGCTGCACCCGGTGCTGTCGTGGCTTCTTTGCTCATCATGAGCGCGAGGACTTGGCTCATCTGTTTTTGCATGTCGGCTATGACTAGGCCTGTCGGTTCGGTTCGGGTCGGGTAACCGAACCCGAAAACCATGAAAACCGAAAACCCGAACCCGATCCGCCACAACCCGAAACCGAATTGTGCTTTGTGGGGTTCGGGTGCTGGAACCCGAAATGTGTGCTGGCGGGTTCGGTTCGGGTGAACCCGAAACCGAACCATTTTGAGTTTTTTTTTTAACTTTTGTGATTTGAATTTAACATTATTTTGCTAGTTAGATATAGCTGATTATCTTATACACGGTGACTAATATCCCCACACTGTAATCAAACAACACTGCTTCATACAGCACAAGCTCATTCATCTGTGACCCATATATTTCAAATTCTTTATAGGTAGTTAAGCATGGGAGGATTCAGAATAGAAACATACACAGATCCACAATCACAACATGTATACAACAGCATTCAAATGATCAGAGGATTGGAAGTCCACTACCAAAACAATCTCATCAAGAAGCAGTCTGATCTGACAAGAAACCCATTAGTGAGTGGGTTTCGAGACGAGGATGACCTCGATGATGTTGTTCTCTTCCAAGTTATGACCTTCGTTACATCTTCCCCAGGTTCTGACAGAGGCACATAGATAAGGTTAACTACTGAGTTCAATGACCTATGGCTGAAGAGCTGAAGAGGGAAACAAGGATTTACCATTAGAAACAAGTGCAGTCCTTCCCTGGCAGCAAACAAGATTGAAAGCTTCCAGAACTAATATTGCAGAAGACTTTCCTGTACATTCAGATTTCCCTTTAGAACGTTTCTAGAAGACATTCCAGCAAAAATAGGTTCCTAACCAACACCTATGCCTAAAAAACAAAGCCAATCACCTAGAAACATCTAGAAAGTGTTGCAGTGATGTAGTTACCTTTTGGCTCAGAGTATCCTACCCTGATAAACCTTTTAATCCAAAATGCTTCAAAGAGATTGCTTTCTGTGGTTGAACAATATATTTGTAGCTTGGATTTTTGGAGCACTGTGGTCTGCACATCTGCGAGCAATCTACTTGATTCCTTGAGCAGATACCAAAAACACAGATGAAATAGCAATACCCAGATGCTGAAAACAATGTTATTCAGTCCAACCCTTCAGCCCTACCAACTGTTCAGAGTCAAAAACTTCCATTCAAGATCACAACTAAGCACAAACACAGCGAAACAGACCCATGTTTTTTTCCCATGATAATGCACCAAACCCTTTTTTTTCTAATGGATAAGTTGGTACAGCTTACAGCTTCTTACCAAAATGGGTCTGGTTTTCTTTTGCAAGGCAGGGGAGGTTAGTAAAGTGGTCATTTCAAGAAAATTGCATCCACATCAGTGACATCAAAACAGTGCACAGGCTGAGGCTCTCATCTTAAAGAGCTAAAATACACCACCAACATTTTTAGTTACTGTCCAACTTCTTCAACCTAAATTAAGATGGATAATAAATTTGACAATAGATCCACATTAAAGCACCCACCAACACTCACCTTCCTGACCACACCCTCTTCACAAGGAGAAATAAACCAAAACCAGAAACACACCTCTACACAAGAAAACATTTCCATGCATTGACTGAGGAGCACCAAAATTAGCGGCCATCTCTATAAATGGCCATATTGTAGCATCATCACATGAGTTGACAGTTAACACATACAGCCATATAACTAAAAAAACAGATGCAGTTCCCTCAAGTACCATTACACAACTGACATGAATCCAAATGACTTAATGCTAACAAAATTCAATCAATCAGATTACTCAGCCAATGTAAGTAGACATGGGGAACGAAAGAAGGTTTGTATAATCAAGATGAAACGCAACAGATGAAACTAACCATTAAGCATATGGCAATGGCATATGCTCGACACTTTTCACACACAGGAACAAAAACCAATCAATGCCTGCCTGCCTGAAGATACTAATTCAATGGTCTTTGCCGTCGAAACAATTGTTGGGAATAGTTCAACCCACTTGCTCTGCAGATTATAAATACAGGAATCAACTCAAGACACATACTGTAAAATCTAATCACATAAATGAAGACCAGGAAAGCTTAATAACAATAACTCACGGAATCCATAAACATGTCGACCAAGGCTTGAGATACCCAGATGAGTCGACGATGAAGCCAGGAGAGGAATCGACGAAGCCAGGGAACTCTAAAACAAGGTTGCGATACCCAGATGCGCCGGCGTCGACCCCCGACGAGGGAAGCTTCGATCTTGAACGAACGGATGAGCTCACCGGCGAAGGGATGCGATTTGCGAAGCGTTGGCGAAGCTCTGAGCCTCTGAGTCTCTGACTGCGCTGCGCTGCAGCCTGCAGGGTAGGAACTAGGGTTTCGGTTTTCGGGTTCTCTATCGGGTTTCGGTTTTATGAAACCGAAACCGACATGTGCATCCTCGGGTCGAAACCGGAAAACCGAACCCATAGATAATTGATGGCGGTTCGGGTTCGGGTTAAACCGAAAACCCGAAACCGTTTTGACAGCCCTAGCTATGACGCTGTTTTGCTTTGCCACTAGCTGCTTCATTTCCTTGGCTGTCAGCTCGGGCTCTTCTTCCTCAACGAGCACCGCGTTAAGGTTGCTGCCTTCGGCGAACGCCCTCGGGGTTGTCATAGCCTTGATGGGTGTCACCTCGTCGGGAAAGTTGGAGTTGGGTTCTGCCATTGGTTGGATTTCTGTTACTTTTTCTACTAAGCCCCACGGTGGGCGCCAATTGTTTGAACCTAACTGAGTGTAGAAGTGAGATTCACGTAAAAGGGGGTCGAGGAGAATGAGCAACAGGAATCAGTTCAAGACTTTGGAGGGAAAGAAGGAAAGAGTTCAGAGAGTCTTTTAGAGAGAGAAGTGTATTCTTTTCTTAGAGATAGAGTTTCCAAAATCCGATCCCCTCACCCACCGGAGTAAATGCCTTATTTATAGGCTACATGGTGGTGGGTGAGTTACATGGTGACATGACTACTGACATGTCAGAAGACTAGACCATACCTCTACCTAGGACAAGTACATTTAGCCTTTCATTATACATAGGACTAGGACTGCGATGTGACCACTCGATAGGTGGAACGCGACGTCGTTTTCCCACACTCGCTAATCTAGTCAACGCTGGACTCGGGCTGCCCTTGGACGCACTGGTGCTGATGCGCCTGTCTCTTGGTATTGGCGCTCGCCGGTGCGTTCGCTCGCGCCGGTGCTGGTGCGCCCGTCTCTTGGTATTGGGCGGTCGCCGGTGTGCTCGCTCGCGCCGGTGTAATCACGACCAACTCTTCTGATGTCGGTGTTTCTTTGGCGCGGCGGAATCCAAGTCACATGCCCCACACATAACAATCAACACGTAGTTATAGTTGACCCTTAACAAAAATACATGCAACTAAGACAATTATCTTACGATTAGTATAGAAGTATTCACCTAACAAAAATTTATGACAATGGTATGGGTTAATGAATTATTGTGTTTGTGTAAATTGACTTAGTCTCTTAGCAATTATCATAGGCTGGAAATAACCTTCCTTTCAAGTTTTCATCCATCATAATGTATGAAATTTATCTAAATTAGGCGTCCATATGTTGTGGTCTACATTTTACATATACAAATATATACTATATGAGCAATATTGAGCTTTATATTTTATGAGTTTAAAAGGGATGAACGTTAACTCTTGAGTGGTTATGCAAAGTATTAAGTATGTGTATATAATATATGTTAGATATATGACTAATTACTTAACTAGTTAATTTGGTTTGACTGGTTATGAGTGTCTGAAACCAAACCAAACCACCTAAACCAAATAAGCTAAAAATTTTAGCCAAACCAAACCAAACCAATTATCCAAATTAACCAAACCAAATTATCCAAATAGTACAGGTTAAAACGGTTACCATGGTAACCAAACCGTTTGAACACTTCTAGTTATAAACGCGCGGCAACAGATCAAAAAATCGTCAGAATCGAGAAAGTAAGAATATAAAAGTGAGAATCGAAAACACGACAAACGATTTACGTGGTTCACTAACACGATGTGTGTTAGCTAGTCCACGGGCAAGAGAGAGCCAGTTTCACTATATTGAGGAGATTGCAAATTACAGAGGAGATGAGAAGTTTGAGAATTATTTATACTTCTCCATGTGGGTCTAAACCTAATACAATCTGGTAAAGGAAACGGTTACAGACCAGGCCAAGAACCCGAACCCAAATAACAGCAAGACCCCCTACTATTCCAGTCATAGCGGCTGATAGTCTGATTCAAGTCATATCAACAAATCTCCACCTTGACTTGAATCCTCTTCCTCTGAAATCTCTGATGTACTCTGCTCCTTCTCTCTCTCTCTCTCTCTCCCACCATCAATGCCCCGTAGGGCAGAGTCACCCACTCAAGACATTCAACAAGTCCAAGCAGTGTTGGAACTTTCCATGTGGAACCAGCTTCGTAAACATATCAGTAGGATTATCTGCGGTGTCAACCTTTTTCACCTTAATCCTCTTCTCCGTACTCAAGAAATGATACCTCACGTCAATGTGCTTAGTTCTCTCATGGTGGACTTGATGCTAGGCCAAGCATATTGCACTAAAACTGTCGCAATACACCACTGCCTGATCATGATGTAGACCTAGGTCAACAACCACTCCCTTCAACCATATTCCCTCCTTAGCAGCTTTTGTCAACGCCATATACTCAGCCTCGGTAGTAGACAATGTCACCGTCGACTGCAGAGTTGCCTTCCAACTCGCTACAGAACTTCCAAGAGTGAATACATAACCGGTCATCGATCTTCTCGTGTCAACATCTTCAACATAGTCCGAGTTAGAATATCTAGACACCAAGCACTTTGTATCACTTCCGAAGCTAATCTCCACATCAGGTGTACCCTTAAGGTACCAGAAGATCTCTTCACAACCTGTCAATGCCCTTTCCCAGGTTGTATCATGAACCTGCTGACAACACTAACATCATGTGCAAGATCAGGTCTAGTGCATACCATAGCGTACATCAAGCTACCTACTGCACTAGCATATGGGACTCTTGACATGTACTCCTTCTCATCCTTTGACTGCGGTGCATAAGCTGAGTATAGATGAACATTTGAATCACTAGAAGTATTTAAGGGCCTTGCTAAAGACATGCCAAACGTCGATAGTAATTCTTGATGTAGCTCTTCTGTGACAAGAAAAGCTTCTTCTTCGACAGCGAGACCCCTGACTATTCCAGTTGTAGCGGCTGATAGTCCGATTCAAGTCATATAAACAATAATTAATTTCAAGTCGTAGCTTGGGTGGTGAGCAACTTCATTGTGCAGCAACTGTGGCGGAGAGCACCAACTTTTATAGGGATCTGAGGATCAGAAGAGGATATGTTCTTATCTCAACATATACATGCGAATCAAATTATGGGCGGGGAGATTGAATTTCACAGAAGGGCACAATATCTCCGCGCAGAAAATAGAATCGAAGATTGGATATAAAAGTGAACAGAACAATTCTTTTAAAAGCCACCAATAATCTGGGGAGTACAATAGTAGCAGCGAGGGAGAGCCTATAGAACAACCGACCTATCATAATTAATTATTCTAATTTGGTGAATTGTTCCTCTGAAACAAACCTTGGATATCATATAAGCTCTTAGGATTTTAGAATCCGCGAGAAACAACAATGCGAAGGTTTTTTTTTGGAGGGTTTGGAAGAGAGACGATGAGAGAGACACATTGAGCCGGCGAAACAAACGGCAAGACCTAGGGTAGTCGTGATTTTTTCGGGGGCTTGCAAGACAGACCAGTTGCCAACAAACATAGTGACGATCGAGAAAGTACAGAGAAAGAGCGAGACGGCTGGGGATTCGATTTCAGATTGGATGTGGCAAAAAAAGGTCAGGGTTGTAGTGAGTTGTGGTGAGCCATAGGGTCGACGGTGGCGGAATTTGATTTGAGATTGAGTGTGTCGAAAAGGGTGGTGGTGGATTTCAATTTCAGGTGGTTGTTGAGAAGAGACGGTGAGAGCGAAGAGATTAAAAATCGACAGTGGCGGAAGCTTGGCAGCATTAGTCTATGCTGGCGGTGACCGCAGACCTTCCACCGTGGGCATTGATCAGTTGCGTGATGGAGTTTTAAATTTATAAATCGATGCATACTCTCTTTTCAATCCTAACTAAGTCAAGCATAACCTAGTGGTTGGGAGATTGCTAGAGTTGAGACGGTTGCCTAGAGTCAAATCCTCATCGCTATGGTTGTCATGTAGGGTTAAGAGAATATGGTGAGTGAGCTCTTTTCTTTGGGCCTTCGTGATTATCCACACGCCTCCGAGTACGCCCTACCTACCCTATTGTCACCTCGGTATAGGCTCATGTATCTAGGGCTTTAAGAACCTATCTCCTTTCAATGGGTACTACTCACCATTCACATCGAGATTTCATCCCGGGTACCATCTAGGAAGGCATTCTTGTGGCAGGGGTTTGGTCACCTCATCCACTACAAGATCTTATTCATTCATCTAACCCTAATTTGCCAGATTGCGCATACCGGTCTAACCCTAAAACTTCATACCCAACATAGAAGCTCAAGTAGGCTAGTAGATAAAATTAGGGTGACTTACCTAAGCACAATTAAAGCTAGATGAAGCATTAAAATCAGCTAGACAAACACATTCATTATATACCTACACATACACAACCTATAAACTAGGGTTCATCTTCCCTAAACAACCATTAGAGATTCAAGTCATAGAGAGAGAAAGAACACAAACTAGAAGAGATGGAGTGATGGAATCAATAATCTTCTCCTTGCTTCCACCTTCTTCTTGCTCCTTGTATGGATTGGATCTTCAATGAAGCTCTCCCAAGGTGTTGCCCTCTCTAAAAATGAGAAATCGTGCAGAATTGTAAAAGAGACACGATTTAACGTGGTTCTTCCTCACGATGTGTGAGGCTTATATCCACGGGAAATAGATGATCTTATAGATTGAGGAGGCACACAGCCTTACACATGTATTTATACCTTATTTCACAATCTCATAGGTTTACATGGTTTACACCCGAAAGGGTGTTAGTGTTTGTTTCTTTGTGTGACTCGGACTCGTGTATACGAGTTGCATGGGCTGCATGAGGGCTATGATATCATATTGGGCCGCCTCTCTATCTCGGTCCAATACTCCCCCGCACGCTGGCACGTGGAGGTCACGAACGTGCAGCTTGGACAAGAGGAAATGAAAACGAATGGCTCCAAGGCCTTTTGTGAAGAGATCGGCAAGTTGACGGTCAGTATGAACCTTCACGGGCAAGATGTCACGTGATTGAACCCGCTCCCTGACA